TAGTTTTTGAAATAAGCAGACAAATTATTCCATTCTGAAACGTCAAATACCTTTTGTATTCACATCAGGCATAACAACGTTGGCAGAAATTAGACTATTTCACTTTATACCTGCTGGTATTTGGAATTACTTCATTTTTATATTAGATATTAGCTATAATGAGAGGTCTATTCCTGTCAATAGAATAATAATAAATATTACATATCTAAAATGTGACCTACACTTAATGATCTTTTAAATATAAATAACGCAAAACACTTCAGTTACCATATTTATTCAAGTCCAAGACAAAAGTTTCCCCCAGTGGTCTGGGGGAGCAAAACAGGTACAGGCAAGGGGCATGGGACAATGGATGGGGGTTTGGCCCCTCATCGCTTGCTGTTGCTCTACTTGCCACAACAGTGGGAGGGGATAAATATAAAGACAACTGTCTACTACTTAGATTCTATACATGGAAAATTATAACAAATATAATATTCCATGTATAAAATCTAATTATTGGATGGGCTGTCATAAATTCAAAGTAGACTTGGTATCAGGTAAATATGGTAATTCTTGAAAAGCTGTGTACGTATCTGCCATCTAATGTGATAAATGCTGGGTATTATTTATTGTATTTGAGCACCAATTTAAGCTGCAAACTGCTTTTCTGCTCATGGGTTTTTTTCCCATACTTATAGCTTTTGCTTGAGCCAGAACAAAGTTCACCTCAGAGACATATTTTGCAAAAGCCAATTTAATTAGCCTGAGATGAGCACTTTAAATTGGTATCTGACAAGTGCTGCTCCTTTGCCACAAGTTGTCAAATATGATTTTTATTAGTTTTGCTTTACCTTAGCCCTATAAAGATGTGAATAGTGTACCTGCAGAGGCTTCAAATGGGTCCTGCTATAAATTAGATAAAGTTACAGATCCCACATTTCAAGCAATAGAATCATTAAATCTTTCATGGTGGAGCACACAGAGAGGGGTAGATAGGGAATGCTTTGCTATGGGCTTTTTCAGCACATTGCGTAATCTCATCTCTTCTCCCTGCTCTCGGAATCAGCTGGAAGATACCAGGGAAGTCTTCACTATCCCCACCCCCCCATATAAAGGTGAAAAGTTGGGTAAGGAGGAGGAAAATATTTGGACCTTAATAAAGAGGAGTCTCAGTTGTCGCAAGCAGGACAAACACTCTTCTGCTTATCCTTCTCTTTGGAGGTGTGAGGACTAAACCATAAAACAGCTGATTAGCACAGTGCTGTCCCTAAGCTCACACAGCTACACTCTTCTAACCCCAAAGTTTGTGTGCTACGATTCTTGAGTTTTGGGGGTCTCTATACAGTTTCACCTTGCATTATTTGATGCCAGTGCATTAAAGCATTTAAACACATGCTGTGATGAGCTGCTGGTTCAGGATCCTAGAACCTTGATTTGCCACACACAGATAGAGCTTCATGACGCCCAGAGGCACTGGAATCGAAAGGATATATCTTCTTGCAAATGTCCCCAAATACTCCAAGGGTTTGTTTGGTTACCATCTGTGTAATTAGTTGTGCATCTTTAGGGCTTTACAAGTACTGGCAGTGAAGTAGCCTAATTTGCTGATATGTCCATAGTGGTAATAAGAATAACACAGTCCTCTTTGGCTGGTCAGTATTCAAGAAATGTGGACGGGTGTACACCAAAACACAGCCCAAGGTAGAAAATTGGAGTTTTCCCCATTCCAGCTGGACCTCTCCCCCACCAGTTTATTCTTTCTTCCAATTCCAACACAGATTTGAAACAAAGGGAAATGCATCTGATCTAAGGGGGCACGTTTTAATATTTCCCACTCTATGCTAGAGATAAAGGTCCTTAACTTCTTGGATGTATCTCTCAAGTATAATTAATAAAACAAACCTGGGCCAGGACAGTAAGATTTAATCTCCAAGTATCAAAAGGTCACCTTATAGCAGGTGGAGGATAGAGATAAGGAGGCCATGCTAGGGTCTGCAGAGGGAGGGAGAGATGTTTAAGAAGAGACAGCTGAAAACAAACAGAAAACCATAAAAATAAATTCAGTCCTGGAGTGCAAACTATGTGAACAAGAGAAAAAAAAAGTATAATCCATCTCTTGGGTGCAGTTCTTGCCAAACAGCTATAATTCTGGGTGAGTGCAAGAACTGTGATAAGCTCTCAGAAGCAAGTAAATCTGAGATATGGGTGAGAATAACAAAATGTATAACCTTGAGGGTCATGTTGAGATCACTTCTTGAAGTATCTGTACAGTTTTCCCAACCAAATCCTCTATGTGACTGATTGTAGTATTGTATAAAATTGGGAAGAACTATGAGTGATCAAGAAGGGGAAACCACAAGAACAAAATATCGAGTATTTGTGATCCCTCTTCCACTTAAACAATAAGAGGGAGTTTTAACATCTTTGGGCCTGTTAGGGGTTGTGATGTTCCCTCCAACCACATTGAGGACTAGAAACCCAAGACACAAAAAAACACACTAAAAGCAACACTCCAGCCCTGGCAGGGGTTAGATTACACTACTTGAAAATGGTTTATTTCCATTCCTAATTTTCTTGAGTCTATGAAGGATTAAGGAAGAACAAGATACTTTTCTTTTTGATGGGTCCCTTTCAGCCTCGTGCATCTACTGACAGGAAGTTAACATTCATCAAGGGTGTACTAAAACTACTTTCAACAGAATAAGGTCAAAGGTATGTACTGAAAGACAAACTAACAAGAATTCTTGGCACCTAATTTTCACAGATCCTTCTCTGGAAACAAGATCTGACAGACTCCAAGAAGAGCACCTAATACTTGTTTCATTTATAGCACAAACTTTAGCAAGTTCTAAACTTTAGGAATGTAAAAAGAAAAATATGAGTTAAGATAATGGGCCAAATTTTGCTCTCCGTTACCCTGGTGCAATCTTTCTGAGTTTAATGAGATTGAACCAGTGAGCAGAGCTCTGTACCTGATGAGCAATCAAATAATACATTAAATTTCACATTTTTAGTCCATTTAAATTAAGGCAAAAATAAATTATAATAAAGCTGTAGTGCCAAAGCAAACTTAATGAGCCATAAAATACAGTAATGCACATAAGTAATTAAGCATCTTGGGAACTAAGGACAACTTTGGACAATTTGTCCTCTTAATTCAGAGATACCAACATTCAGCGTATCTAATGAAGGGAGAAATGTTCGGAACACTGCATGCTATTTCCTCACTGAAAGACATTCAGACCAAAGCAATGATCTTCTCCCATTAAGTCCATGAGCTTTTTTTGCCACTGACTTTAACAGAATTAAGACAAAACTAAAGAAGTAAGCAGAATAGATTAAATCCTAAACAGAGAATCAGTATTTTTATGAAAATGGTCCTTGCAAAAGAAAAGTAAAAGAAAAAACAGAAAATAAGGATGCTAACTTAAATTATTTTTAAATGGAATATTTATAGCGATACTAGTTTTAAACACAACAGAATAATATTTAATTGTATTAAGCTTTGTAACAATATAATTTTTTCAGTCTTATGGGAAATCTGAAATCCTTATTAAGATGATTTTCATAGCACTCATCATCAAGATATACATAAATCTGAATCAAAGCACTGGCACTTTATAAACACTCATCAATTTACAATAGCTTATTTATAACATTTTTTGATGTTGGGTTTCTGAGTTCAATCAGGTGATAATTTATTGAGGAAGTCATGTTACTGAAGTGTCATATTCTGCCCTCAAATATACATAAGCATATTTCTGAAAAATGAAGTGGTTGGTTTGACCTTCCCCATCTCTCTTAAAAACACACACACATTTGTGATCGTAGATCCTTTAAAAGTAGGCCAGTAGTCCATATACCAAAAGTGGTTGTTTTCAAACAAATAGGAATTATTAGTATGCAGTTGGTTGAAAAACCCCCACAAATCTTGTGGCAATTTAGTAAGCATAAATTACTGTCAACCTTAGCTAAAATTGGTTGTGTGGAAGCCTGAGAACTGTAGATGTTTAACCAATGAACAGTTGTCTGACTGCATGACTTTTACACCTTTTCTAACTGCATAACAGACTCAAATGCCAGTTTAGCACTCAAGAGGCATTATGCATGGAAGACATAAGATTAATAAATCAATGTACGTTACATTCATCCATATATGTAATTTTGTCTCTGCATGCAATTACTAGGCAATTATATTTTCCAATTCACTTACCCACTCCAGATTACCACATAAAGGTAAATACAGCCAACTGGAATGTGCTGAGAATAAACTGTTACAACCAGGCAGGTATTCTGTAGCTGGACTGTTTGTATTCCATATTTCTTTCAATATTATGCCTATTTGATCCAGACTAGCTTTCATAATCATTTCTTTAGCAGCCAAAACAAGACACAAGAACTACTCAAACATGCCTTTGTTAGTCTGAAAAAACCTACCAGTTTTTCTGCTAAAGAATAAAACAGCATAAATCTCTTAGGTGTGATCCTATAATTGTGTTAAATCATGAGTAACTTTACTCATGTATGTGATCTTAGGGTGGGATTGCCCATGTGAATATCACTTACAGGCTGAAGTGACTGCAGAATCAGGCTTTATGTTAGGAAATGTACACTAGTGAATACATTACTGTTACTCAACAAGTCAGTTCCAGTTAGTAGGCTAGATCTGCATTGCCATGTGTGAAGCATCAATTCCTTCTTATAGTAATATTAAAAACATTTTTTTCACTAGTAAGTGTCAAGATAAGTTCTAGAAAAAGTACTTTAAAATATGTCTAAAGAATTGAGAGTAAATGTGGCACAAAAATTCCTACATGTAAGTTTTAGACCTGATGTAGGAATCATATCTGCATAAACTTAAGATAAAAGGTAAGAATGGACTTTCTGTTAAATACCAATATGATTTCAAGGGCAGTGAAAAATTATGAATAACAGAGACATAAATATAAAAAGAGGTAACTTTAATTCAGTAATCAGTATTTATCATTGTATTTATGGTTATATATTTACTAACTTACCCTCATCTTTGCACAGGCATCCTGTGTTGATTCTGTGCCTCTTAACTCTTTTACCAGCATAGAACCTAAATACTAAAATAAAAATACATTCAATTTTCTGTAGCTAAAGCAAACCAATCTAGAAAATGTTCCTAAAAATCTGACAAAACCAGGATAGTAACCTAAACATTTTATGATTTTGAAGGTTTTTTACTGTGTACTTCCTACAGAACATAATTTCAAATGGAGGCTGAACTCACAGTCTATGAAGCAGGAACAGAGAGAGAGAATTTATAAATAGCATATGAAAGTTATAAATAGTTTATGTAGTTTGCTACTTTCTTCAACTTAAGAAGAAAGCATTACAGACACTATCTTAAACTGCATCTGATTGTAAGACTGTGCATTTACATTTCTGGCGTCCATTTGCAAAAATCCTCTCACAATAAATAATCATATGGTTTTGGTAGATGATGGCACTGATGCTGAGCTACGTGCACCCAATATTATACATATATAGTTATAATATGTTGCTTCTAGACCTACAATCATAGAGTATTTTTAAAGTCTTTAATTCACACCTGAATTCAAACCTGACAATACACTGAAGTGAAAGAGCCACACACATTTCAGGATAGACAGTTGTAGAGCACTACACACTGAGGATTGTTACACAGTACTTAACAGCTCGGATTGCAAACAAAGTGTTCCCCTTGCAACTGCATAAATATCATGGAGTTTAATTTTATTCAGAAAGGACTGTAAAACTTAAATCCAAGCATACATGTCATTCTCTGGTGGTTCTGAATCAAGTCCCAGTAAGGGCCAGATTTTGTAGATTGAAGTGAATGGGCATTTTGCTACTGACTTCAATGATGGCAAATTAAAAACATTCAAAATGTAGAAAACTTTGAAATGAGTATGTTTAAACAAAAGCAGATAGACTTGCCCAATACCATCCTGTATTTTCTTTGCTGTTACTGTACACCAGCTGTTGGAGGAATATTGGTCTGAGGTGTGCCCTCTTTTCCTATGCTTTAACTCCTGCTAGAGATGAGGCACAATTTTGTCCTTGCTCTCTTCTGAAAGCAAGGCAAGGCTAGCAATCTTTTGATAGTTGCTCCTAAACTTTACAATGGGTGGACACAGTAGACAAAATAAAATTAAAAAAAACCCTTGTCCCTTGCCCATGTTGACCCCAGTACAGAAAAAGAGGTCAACGGAGAGAAATGGAAGACCAGGCTCAGCTTCAAGTATAGAGCAGTAACAGCAGGCTAGTGGTAGAGCAAGTATCTCTCTCACCAGTTGAGGGGCAGAGGCAGTGTCAGGCTTAGCCAGCAAGAAAGCAAAAGGGAAAGGCCCAGCTTTCTATCAAGTGCGTGCATTCAAAGGAAGAGGACAGAAGAATTCTTTGTCTTTGGGTTCTGAGTGTGCAATGAGAAGGTATAAGATATCACCAGTACAGCTGGCTAGGTATCATACAAAATAAATGTGACACCCTTCTAAAAAGTGCCACAGCAACTTGGACTAGCAAAAGCTTTGATGTCAATACTACCTGGAGCTGAGACACTGTGCACATGAAGGATAAGATGAGCACAGATAGCAAAACTTTTCCTGAAAAAGCTGTTATGGTATTAGTAAGCATTATATGGAAAATTATGAAAAATATTAGAAAAACTATGTTTATTGGCTTCTGTCCACTACAAATAGGAAAAGGGGCCACTTGGAATGTTATCACCATTTGTAAGATCTTTGCCCTAGACAATAGACAATGTTAATATTTGACAATGATATGACATGCTGTGCCTCTGACCAAGCAAGTTGATTAGCCTGTGGCATATGGTAGGTAAGAGAAATAGGGCTGTCTGGATTTTACTGTTACCCACAGGATTAAGACCGTTTTCTGGTGGTGTCATTTCTTAGTTCTGATGACTGCAATGGCTGCAACCCATTTGAAAACCAAAATAATATTTCTTATGTTTACATCTTATTGATTAATTTTGTCAATTTTCTGGAGGAGGTGCTTTCATTTCATTAAGGTTAACCTACTATAACTGAGAAATGTAAATTTAAGGACAGAGCTATCAAAATGTAACATTAACATGATATAATCTAACCAAATCCAAGGTACTGAATTAACCAACACTTACAAATGCTTTATAATCACATGACTGGAAGATGAGTTTCTCTGGGTGATGTTGCCAGTACTGTACTGGTGTCGATGCTGTGGCTTCATTAGGAGGTCGTAAGGTAATTGAAGGTTCTCCCCAGTCTCCTGTCTGAAAATCATATTTATTCTAAAATGTAACATAAACTTCAGATAATTTTGCTAAAAATTACCTTTCACCATACCCAAATTACACTAGTTGTGATTTGCTATATATGCACTTACACAACTAAAATATTAAAATACAACTTGTACAGCAAATTTTCATGATTTCGTTTATAATGCAGAAGTCATCTGGTATAGACTTCTGCAATGCTTGAATCCAATCTGGGTTTTTTTGTTTTTTAACAATTAAATAACAAAACCATTAAATTATTATTTTTAAATGGTTTCTTGAAAGAGACATTAGAACAGGAGTTCTTGGAAAAAGCCATAAAATCAGAAAAATTCCATTCACATTAAAATAAGGCTGACATGTTTTGCAAGCTTTTCTATACAGCTAATACATTTTCTATTATCCTAATGTATATAATTAATTGTTAATAATACAGTTTTCATTTTCCCATACTAGCCAAATAATTTGGACCTTGACATGGGTTATTATATATTCTTTAGCATGTAAGGCAAGAAAGCTAAATATGCTGATGCATATCAGTTTTACATATTAAAAAGCAAAAATCAATGGTGGAGTATATTTAGCCACAGTAGTGTGCCATTTAACAGGTAATCAAGGACAATTTGTTTCCATCAACAATAATCACAAATTCAAGACGGAATGAGTAAAATTCAAAATGTAATTTATTTTTACTTTTAAAAGAATAGGTTGTCTGATTTATTTTAAATGTTTTTGTCTGTGTGAATGCACTGTGCTGTAAATAAGTGTTACTACTGTTTTATATAAGCTTTTCTCTATATCCTTACATTCTAATATCCTGAACAGATTGGGGTTTTTTTTACTTATTTTTTATCATTACAGTCTTCCTTCTTTAACCTCTCTACATATTTATTTACTTTGATCACCTATTGATGTCTGCTATACATGTAACACAGTTTCCCTGTCATATTTAGTCTTTACAGCTCTATGAATTGACCTCAAAAATTCTCCCCTGATTTTTCTCTCTCCCTCCACTCACTCTTTCCTATGATTACTTCTTACTTTGAGTTTTGCTGCTTTTTTTCCCCAAATCTCTCTAGATATTGACTGTCTCTAATATTTTTCTTTCAGCTTGGTTTGAAACTGGCAACAAATTATCAGTTGGTTATTAATATTTAATTTAAATAATGAATAGTAGTATGTAATTCCATTAAGATTAAAAAAATAAGTTAGGGAAACATTAAGTAATGTCAAGTGTGTTGAAGAGTTAAATCGAAAACAAATTCAGAAGCCTGGCAAACAACAAATTTATCAATTAACTCAGGACAGAATAAGCAAAACAAGAACTGTACATCCATTTTCATGTGTTACACAATAATGAAAGGACACAAATTTGCACAACTCCGCAATGAAAAGCAATAGATAAATCTGAATACATCACTATTACCCTGCCAATGTGATAACTTAAAGTGAGTGTACATACATAACAAAATAAGTAGAAAGTACTTAATGCCGAGCTTATACCGCCTATCTACAGATGATACAGCAACTTCTGTCTGGCCTATTTAGTGTTGCCTTATACTTTGAAAATGTGGACTATTGAGTACCTAGATAGAGAGCTGGAATGATCTTGTGCAGAGATGAATGGGGTAAACCGTAGTGCTACAGGTCTCAGTTTTGGAAGAAAAGCAACTTTGTCAGTAGCTCCAATTATAGCACATTGTGAAATATCTACAGAATATGTATCCTCTAAACTACAGATTTTTTAGAATCTCTCACTGTATTGAATCTGAATGTAGAAACTGGGTTTTGTCAGAACCATATCCCCTGGAGAAATGCTGATTCAACTGGATTTAAAAAAAAAAGGGAAAGTTCTGGAGCCCAATTCTCTGAAATCAGTGGGAGGTTTATGACTGATTACAAGGGGAACAGAACTGGACCTTGAGTCAGTTTACAATACACCTAATTGTTAATCATTCAGGGGTGCCTAGATGAAAGAATACTTGAAAATCTCCTGCTTTTCAAACTTTTTTCAATAGGGGCTCTTAATGAAATAAAAATCTGATACATATAGGCATACTGCTCTGCAGGACGGAGTATCTCATGCACTTAGCAAGAGGATATTACTAGGCCTGATAAAGTGATGGAATAACGAAGACATACAATTACATCTTTAATCACAGCTTCCTCAACCCCGAATTGTTGAAAGGAAGAGAAGTGACACTTGGTAGTGCTCCTACACTCCTTCATTGCACTAATGAAAAGAGAATTCGCCCCATATGCAGAAGACAGATAATAGAAAGAGACTGAAATGGGTAAAGGAGCAGTAAAATGAATAAATGACTTTATGGTTTGGACTACTTGTGCACAGAAGTTATTAAAAGCAAAAGTGATTAAACTTTAAAAGGTATTCTGAAACCAAGGTCTCTGCCTGCCCATGGAGAGACGTTGTAGCAGATATAATGTCTATTTCTAATAGATTTAATTTCTATAAGAGTTAGAAAGCCACAGTCAGGAGGAAATGAGAAATAATACTCAGCTAAAACAATGAACTCAGTATGATACATTTACATACGGACTGTGCAGTCACCAGTTTTTTAGAGTAATTAATCTCTTTATTAACAAATACTATCACTTGACTGAAGATTCTATTTCTTTTAAATTAAGACAAAATAGAATGGATAAAATTACTTTATCTGGGACTCTAATAGTGGATCTACGCACAATACATTTGAGAATAGAGGAACACAGAAATACAAAGCTATTGGGAGTTTTATGATAGTTGGAGTTGAAGATCTGTGCATTTACATCAGCATTTTTTTGCAGCAGCTAATAAGGAATACTGCAATATTACACATTGTAAGTATGGATTAACATTGACCCATGTTTTAAGAAGTCATATTATGTTATACAGGGAGTCCCAAGATGCTCTTTTGTAATTACATAATACATTATGCAAGTCATACATCATATCCAGCTGAAACTATTTTTGGTCTCATTTCCTTTTGATTGTTTCCTCCCAAGTGTCTTATAATTTTAGGGCATGCTATTGCCAGCATTTTCTATCATTCCTAAAGTCAATGCAAATAATTACCATCTGAAAATATTTATAATGGAAACAAAGATGTGTGCATGAGTACAAGAAATCATAACCACTGTCCTTTCTTACTCCATCTATTCCATCCTGATGTTTTCACCTACACCTGTTCCATTATATTTACAGTTAGAGTGCAAAAGCGTCAGGATAAGACCATGTCTTTTGTTCTTATTCTGCAGCATAATAGTGCAGACTCTAAGATGGAGAATAGGAGCAGAGAGCTCTTCAGTTGAGTCACTCTACATTCAGGTGCTAAAATTCTGCACAGAAATGTAGGGTAATTATAGATGAATCATGTTAGCTGAGAAGTCCAATTAACTCCAGATAGACTGAAGGGGTGGGAACATCTCTCTGGGCAAGAGGAGGTCCTGGAGGGAAATTCAGGGACAGCCAAGCCTGGGGAGGAAGCTTATGTTGAAGAATTTGAGTTGCCAGTAATGCCAAATTTGAGTAAGTTTGGACATTTACTCATGAGCTGTGTTCTGGGATTTAGGCCCAGCACCCTTTCAGGCACATTAAAAATGTTTGTAAACTCAGACAATGGGCCAAAAAATTCAGTTTTGTTTTTAAACCACGTCTTCTTTTTAAATCTTCTGTTTTTAGTTTTAGTACTTTTATTTGGAAACTGAGAAGTAACCAAGCAATCAAAAACATTATGTAGAGTTCTACATAGTATAGGGCTGGAGTTAACATCTAAGAGGTAAACTGAAAAGGCTTGTGATAAATTGATTCATCACAGTATTTTACAGTTTGCCAGATACCTGCGCAATTTATCACATGGTCTTGGGTGCACCAGCTGTGCACAAATCTGTCTTTTGGGTTATTCTAACACTCCAAACCTTCTCCCACCCCTTCCCTCCCAGCAGCTTCAGCCAGGCACTGTTGCTTTCCTTTCCCCCGCCTCATAAAATTATCGCACATCAAGAGCTGGGATGACCAAGATCCTGGCCTTTGTCAGCAACAGCTTTTCTATCTTTCCATATCATAACTTTAAATACCAGCACCTACAATAAGCTTTTTAGTTTTCCAACGAAATGCATTACTATTGCTTTTAATTCTAGGAAGGACTGAGATATGTGACATTAAGCAAAGTAACACTAAAAAGGTATGGAAAAACTAATACATCATTTTAAGAGTTCCTGCATGTACGTGAGTTTTAATTTCTCTCATGCTTTCTGAGCCTTTTATTTAATTCCTGGTAAGGCATCGGACTGCAGAGGTAGATAGACGTATGCTTTAATCCCCACAATTCTTTTTTTTTATAAACTCTCTAAAATATTAAAGATTAAAAATGGACCAATGACAAAACATGTTACAGGATTTTAGACCTGTTTTGGCAAGGTTTTTTTTTTTTTAAACTTAAATATCTATAAGAAAAGATATTTCTTATATCTTTGTACGTGTAAAGCCTCCTGTGAATCCAGATGTCTTGGGATAATAAAAAGTAGTTTCCAGAGGGACTTAAATATTTTCTTTGTACAAATTTTAATTGTTCTGTGGGACGAGTTAAAATTTATTACAATTTTTTTTACCTTTGGTTAAAAGAAAGCTTTTTTCATAGCTGTTTTAGAATGTATTACATTATTTATAATAACATGTGGTATGCTTGAATACATGTGAAATGTGCAAGGCAAGTTGTCATTCTTCTTGAAGAGGTAGTCCAACGTGGCAGTTGGCTGTCCTGCTTGGACATGTGTGAGCCTCTCTGTAGTCTAGCTGTAAAGCTAAGTGAACTATTGTGAGAGTTCTACTCCTCATGTTACAACAGACATAACATTTTGTGCCACCCCAAGTAGCATTTGTAAATTTTTTTCCTGCAAAAATTACACAAATTCAGGGTGTCAACAAGGCTACATGTAATTTGCAGAAGTGGATTACTGCCAATGCAAAGATGGTGCACATCTCCAAAAGTCTGCCAGCTAAGAGGGTTCTGCTGACTGTCAGGGAGTAGAGAGGGGACTGCACAAAACAGGGTGAAAGTGCACAGAGTAAGCTATTTACACCTGTTTTCTTTGAAAAAGTAAGTAAACAAAGCAACCAGGAACAGACAGGGAAACTACCACAGTAAGTTTGAACTAGAATTGCCTCACTTCCAGTCATACAAAAACTAATCACACGCCATGATAAATGAATGTACATACACATAGTTCCAAAAAAACCAGTGGACAATACAAATTATTCTGCAATTTCAGCAACATGACACCTGTATATAAGTATTAACAACACCATAGCAACACATGAACACCCATACAGCGACAACATAGCCATTTATTACAATATCTTACATTATGAACCTGATGGATCGATGAGAAAGGATATCCTGCATTCTGGTTGGTCCATATCTCACAGACAGACGACTGCTGATATAAACAGAAAACTACATCTCATCTTATAAATATTAATTCAGCACAACTGCCAAAAAGCAGGAATAATTAAAAAAAAGGAAGAAAAAAGGAAAGAAAATAATTGCAGCAACATTTAAAAACAAAACAAAACAACTGCCATTTTTGATTTATCTGTTGACAAAACATTTCTTGGACTGACTGGAAGAAAATATGGCATATTCGGAGACTTCAAAAGGTTTCAAATGAGAAGTATAATAAAATCATTTAATCAGAAATACTGGTGAGGTAAAGAGGTAAAACTAGGTAGATGGAAATTTTAAAAAAAGGTATATATAGAGAGAGCAAAATGCACTGCTTTTAGTTTATTTTTCCACCAGTCAACAATCCACCTCTATTCTGGATTCTTTTTGAATTGCATTCTGTTGGTAGTTCTCAGCGGGAAGGGGAATGGGAGAAATCAGGCAAAAATATAGTAAAAGGTGAAATAACTTTAAAATCCCAGTTGCACTGTAGCAATTGACAGAGAAAAGATTGCATAACAGTAAAGCAATTACCCACCACCTCCCTTCCCCTTCATACAAACACATATGGCCAAATAATGATCTTCATTGCACCAATGCATCCCTCTGGAGTTATTTCAATTGGCAGGAATAGTCTGATCGTGCCCCCTCCACTATTGTACAGGCAGTCTGTATCAGCAATAGTAAAGTAAGGAGCATATTACAGTAACTGTAGCAAAAGCGACAACAATATAGGCTTTGGCATCTTTTATGTATTCCTTTATTTGGATGCCATTATCAAGAAAGCAACTGCGACATCACAAGAAATGCTAAGATAACGTTTCATAGTAGCCAAGCAACTAAAACAAGCACCAGACATGAGCACTGCCCACAGTATTTTGAGCAGGCAGCAACAAAAGGCACTAAATGTACATGAGAGAGGCAACTGCAGCATCTAAAATAGCTAGCAATTAATACATCAGTAATTTAACCACAGTATACAGAGCATAGCCAGAAGCTAAAGACAGCACCAGGGATTTAGTATTGGTGTCCAAAAGTGACAGCATCCAAAAAGGCATAACCATCTGCAGGAAAATGACTCTTGCCCTTACCTTTTGCTGTCTGAAACCTGGATGCCTTGCTGGGTGATAGTCTAGGTCACTCCTAATATTTCTGGTTACTGGCAAGACAGACTGGCTTCCTCTGGATTGACCAGCAAGTACTCTCAGACTGGTGGCTGGCAAGCTAATATCTTTCACCTGCTTTTTTATTCCCCTCGAGTTTCCAGAAATTCTTTTTTAACTTTGAAATCTTCCCCCTGATTTTCAGATCCCAGTCTTTGAAATCCTCCCATACCTCTTCAGTTTTTTTCCTCTGTATTTTGTTATTGCCAAAGTCACTTGCATAACTCAGCCCCACAGGACTCATTAGTAAGTTAAACAATTTGACACCCAGGATGGCTGTCACAGTTTTGATAGCACAGAATACTTAATGAAAGCATTGCCTTGGGTCTTCCAGTTTCTTCTGTGTTCACTGTGTTTCTGCTGCCCACCATAAAATGTATCCATCTGTATCTCTCACCCTCTTGACCTTCTCATGGTCATCCCACTACCAACCATCCTTGCTGCATCTCCCATCAGCAGAGCCAGGAGCAACTCCTGAAAACATTTCTCACCTACATGAACCTACATGTCCTTAAGCTGTTTTACTGAGTAGTGCCAATTCCTTTGCTTTCTGTTCACCTGGGGCTGGATCAACAAAGAATCCACAGGATGAGCTACGTGCTTAAGTTCTTTAAACAATACTCAGGGAGAGTTAGGCTCCCTGGAATAGGAGTCACAATAGCCAGTATACTGACAGGGAGTCCCCCAAGACATTATGTCCTACCCCTCTCAAGGGTTTAGGTGCCTAAGCTTGATCTGAACTCACAACCCTGAACACTCTTCTGATAGCAGTGCCTAAGTCCTTTCTTTAGAGCATAGACCAGGAGGGGTCAATTATTTTTTTAAATGGTGATGATGTTCTCATTTTTTCAAGACTTCAATGGTTAGAGCATTTACCCCCGGTGCACGAGATTTGGGTTTATGCCTATTGTTCTCTGACGGGTTCAAAACGACATCTCTCACCTCTTAAGGAGAGGGGCCCAACTACCAGACTTGTACACTATTTCAGGGAAGAGATGGTCTGCATCCCTCCTGCTGAAGCTGGGTCACTTTGTCAAAGCAAGAATGAAAGGTTCCATGGTTCAGAGAGAGGGAATAGAAAGGAGTGTAACTGTAAACCCACTGATTAGGGCACTTACCTAGGCGAGGGGAGTAGAGGTCCCTGTTCTAGGGGTGGTTTTCATTTTACATTAATACAGTCATCAGACAAAATCTTGTTTAGGAAGAGATAAATTGCACTCTTAGCTGAATTCAAAATTAAAAAAAATTTTTGTTGCAATTCTATCAGGCTGGAGACAAGCTGGGGGTGTAAGAATTTCACGATGACTAATCTAATTCTACAAACACTGTCAGGTGTGATAGTGAGCCCAATGAGGAGTCACATTAACAGGGCTACTCACAGTAGTCAGCCCCACTGTCAGAAGTAAGTAAAGGTTTGCATGATCTGGGCCCACAAAAAACTATTATTTTTTTAAATGCAACAGTTATGATTCTTAAAGAGGAGCTTGCAGCCCTGCTAGCTAGCACCAATGGCAAAGAAATACCACGCAACTGTATAAGCACCCAGTGGGATGTGTCATTACCTGTTTTTCAGTGCTGCACCTATTAGTGTTTTACCAAGTAAGAAACTGAGGCACAATGCAGCAGAAATATCAATTTTATGGAACATAACAGATAATTTAGGAGCTGAGATCTGCCACTGAAGAAGTTAACATTTAACATTTATTGTGTGAATCTTTTATGGCATCAAAACATAGAAATAACTTCAATCAATGAATTAAGAGCAATTGCTCAATAACTAAGTTGCCTTCTTCCTATTTTGCAGCTGGAGGAACCCAGCAAAGAAGAGAGATTAAGTGACTGTCCAAGCCTAGACAATTAGTCAGGGGAGGATGACTGATTTGCCTCCCCCTCCCCCCCCCCACAAAAAAAATCCCAGAACATGCTATCTCAAAAAGAAGGAAAGAACAAAATTTGTAGGTACCATTCAATCTGAACAATAGACTTACTGCATACAAACAGAAATATATTTTGACTATATGTGGACTTAATAGTAGTGATATAGAAGGATATGTGGAAAAAAATAACAAACAACATTTGAAAGACAAAAAAAATCATCAACTTTAGCTGATTAATATTAAATGTATACTTATTCTTTTGTTCCCGAAGAGAGAAATGAATACCAATAACAAACTAACAAAAATAAATCATGCAGATTTTTACAAGAGAGCATTCCCATAAAATAAGTAATGAGAGACCATATATATAGGATAGTCCCAAAATATTATTCTATTTCAACTTTATTTCTTTAGAAGACTTGTTTAAGGAAATATTTTTTGCTCCTATACCCTTAGCTCTTTACCTTTTTACTTTCATAAAACTATTCACCAAGGAAGATAGTGGTCAGTATTTCTCCTATGAAACTTCTCCTTTTCCCCCACACAGTAGCGCTTATTTCTTTCAGATGCATCGTAGTCAGTCATATCAGAGATTGTTAGAATCCACCACCTTTTACCAACTCTCTGTGAATATATTCTCCTTTTCCTATAGACATCAGTCCAAGACATCCAGAAATGAAAAAAGTTAGCTCTCCTCTCTAAACTAAATCTTCTGTCTTTGAGCTTCCTAATAAATCCCAAGATGAGTAAATTGACACATGCAAGACAAAAAAAATTGGATATGTAAAAAGGTATTACTCTATGACCTGGCAGAGAGTAAGTGTTTTCATAAAATATTACCTCTATCTAAAACATGTTTTTTCACTCTTAAGACTTCAAAGCACATTCCAAATATGTATAAGCCTTTTTTATATCCATTTTATGGATTGGGAAATTGAGGCTAGCTCAAATCATTATCTTACCCAATTACCTAGAGAAAATCAGTGGCAGTCAGGAATAAAAAATAAGGGAATCTGAATTCCTGCTCCCCAGGTTCCCTACCCATTGGAACAACAGTATCCTTCAAACAAGTAAAAATCATCAAATTCAGGGTAACAGAGAAGAACAGCTGGAGCAGCCAAGAAAAAAATCTGTACACTTCTTCTTTGTTTCTACTTTTATCAGAAATTATACAAATGCAATTCAAGGAAAACTTCAACAAACAAATGAAGTCTCGACTATTAAAATAATGATAATGAACTTGAGATTTTTTAAGAATTTGGGAAGGTGGCCACTTTAAACTGTTGTCTGCTGTAAGTACCCTTTCTACAAAGCAGTAACTGTTGGAATTGAAAAAAAATCTCTATCTTTGATTGGCCATAAGAGATTGGATAATTGGAGGTCCTGCAGACTTCATCAGGGAAGGAGCTAAAACACCAAACTATAATCAATCAGAGAAAACAGATCTCCAGCTGAGCAAATAGAGTTGGAAGAGTTCTCAGGAGATAATCTGTTCAATCACCTGCTCAAGGAAGTATCAACCCCCTCTAAACCATACTGGACAAATGCTTCTCTATGACCCTTAAAAGTTTCCAATGAAAGGATTCCACAACCTTTCTAGGTAATCTTTTCTCGTACTTAATCATCTTGGCTGTAATTAGACATTGCATTTGAGGCAGGCCTAACTGTCGTGGGTTTTGACCCATATCAAAACAGAAATGGCAGTCATTTACACAAGTAGCCATTCCAAGTAGCACTGAAGCTCCTCTGCTGATAGGTGGCTGCCAAAAGCACATCCTGGCCAGCCTCTTTAAGGAATGGCTCATAATAACCTTACAGATGTATCCCATAATGTCTTGGGAAAAAATAATAGCATATTTTATCCCACATACTTTGATGGGACTTGAAGTGGGGCAGTGGTTTTGTTTTGCAGGATCCTGGGACAAAATGCTCTTTTCTTGGGACAAATATAACTT